GAAATCACGTTTTCCTCTATTTGCTTCCTCTTCCCCAATATTTTAAGGGCCCACCATCAATGTGTTGATCATTCTGGCTCCTATGCATGCAGAGGGAAACTACAAAGATTCTGTGTCTGGTGTTGCTATGACAACAAACATTAATAAAGTGTCATTTCACACAATTGCTAATGTCAAGTCATTGAATTTTAAAATGAATGATGAACAAATACAAGTGTCACTCTCTATTTTCCCATCAAACATTGAAAAGCCCTTCTATGCCATTAGGTCGCAGTGTATACTCGTTTAAATAAAAAAAGAATTTTGGGGAAAATATTTCAGGGGGACCAACCTGTTTTTTGTTGCTTGTTTTTGGTGTGTGTCTGTTTTGATGAGTTGAGTGAGGGATTGTTGTTGTGTTTTGTTGTATGTCTGTTTTGATGAGTTGAGTGAGGGATTGTTGCTGTGTTTTGTTGTATGTCTGTTTTGATGAGTTGAGTGAGGGATTGTTGTGTTTTGTTGTATGTCTGTTTTGATGAGTTGAGTGAGGGATTGTTGTTGTGTTTTGTTGTATGTCTGTTTTGATGAGTTGAGTGAGGGATTGTTGTTGTGTTTTGTTGTATGTCTGTTTTGATGAGTTGAGTGAGGGATTGTTGTTGTGTTTTGTTGTATGTCTGTTTTGATGAGTTGAGTGAGGGATTGTTGTTGTGTTTTGTTGTATGTCTGTTTTGATGAGTTGAGTGAGGGATTGTTGTTGTGTTTTGTTGTATGTCTGTTTTGATGAGTTGAGTGAGGGATTGTTGTTGTGTTTTGTTGTATGTCTGTTTTGATGAGTTGAGTGAGGGATTGTTGTTGTGTTTTGTTGTATGTCTGTTTTGATGAGTTGAGTGAGGGATAATTGTTGTGTTTTGTTGTATGTCTGTTTTGATGAGTTGAGTGAGGGATAATTGTTGTGTTTTGTTTTATGTCTGTTTTGATGTGTTGAGTGAGGGATAATAGTTGTGTTTTGTTGTTTGTCTGTTTTGATGAGTTGAGTGAGGGATAATTGTTGTGTTTTGTTGTATGTCTGTTTTGATGAGTTGAGTGAGGGATAATTGTTGTGTTTTGTTGTATGTCTGTTTTGATGAGTTGAGTGAGGGATTGTTGTTGTGTTTTGTTGTTTGTCTGTTTTGATGAGTTGAGTGAGGGATAATTGTTGTGTTTTGTTGTATGTCTGTTTTGATGAGTTTAGTGAGGGATAATTGTTGTGTTTAGTTGTATGTCTGTTTTGATGAGTTGAGTGAGGGATAATTGTTGTGTTTGTTGTATGTCTGTTTTGATGAGTTTAGTGAGGGATAATTGTTGTGTTTGTTGTATGTCTGTTTTGATGAGTTTAGTGAGGGATAATTGTTGTGTTTAGTTGTATGTCTGTTTTGATGAGTTTAGTGAGGGATAATTGTTGTGTTTGTTGTATGTCTGTTTTGATGAGTTGAGTGAGCAATAATTGTTGTGTTTTGGTGTTTGTCTGTTTTGATGAGTTGAGTGAGGGATAATTGTTGTGTTTTGTTGTATGTCTGTTTTGATGAGTGTTGGGGGCGATTGTTGTTGTGTTTTGTTGTATGTCTGTTTTGATGAGTTGAGTGAGGGATAATTGTTGTGTTTTGTTGTATGTCTGTTTTGATTAGTTAAGTGAGCGATTTTTGCTTATTTTTTTAGTGTTTTTGTTCTGATGAGTTGAGTGAGCGATAATTGTTGTGTTTTGGTGTATGTCTGTTTTGATGAGTTGAGTGAGTGATTGTTCTTGTTTTTTGAGTGTTTTTCTTTTGATGAGTTGAGTGAGCGATAATTGTTGTGTTTTGATGTGTGTCTGTTTTGATGAGTTGAGTGAGTGATTGTTCTTGTTTTTTTGAGTGTTTTTCTTTTGATGAGTGGAGTGAGCCATAGTGTCTTTTTTTTCAACTTTAGTTTTTTTCCCCATTGGAATCCCACGAATTTATCATGGCGGTGTTTAGAATGATAACCCACGTGAGGAAAGAGTTTGTGTGAAATTGGATTTGCGAGTGATGTGGATGCCATAGTTGCAGTGACCATTGCTGTGGATGTAAGAGTGGGAGTGATATTTTAGGTGGATATAATGTTTTATGTTTCTGATTCATTTTCAATCCACATAAACACCAAGAGATTAAACACATTAATCTGAACTGTTTCACTGCGTTGTGTTATTGAATTCTTAAAACACGTCAGCTCTACAAGAGCTAGAAGGAAAGAAGTTTTTGACTCTGAAATTGTTCTGTGGCTATAAAAAATGTAATCTAATCTTACACGACGCCACAGTGGTGTTCATTTTATGAGCAGAACATTAGAAGATACATGTAATTTTTACTCGTCTAAAACTTCTGTTGCCTTCAGTGCTAAGCGGGTTGCTAGTGTAATATTTTTACAAAGAAATGTGCGTTAAAGAAATTCGGGTTAAAAGATAAAGGTTGAGAACCCTTAGCTCAGACAAACCCACACATCGATTTATAAGAAGTGCTGATAAGGTAACTCTTATAACTACATTCAGCCATTGCACCAGAACAGAACATTGACTTAAGTTTAGCTCCGATTAAGGTAACTAAATATTCGCATTATTAGTATATAAAAAAATGATGAATTAATTGCAACTGACTTAAAAATAGAGGTTATAACCCGACCGTAAACCAAATATCTCAGTGAGAAGTTGAGATTATGTCTTTTGAAAATGTCGAGGAAGCCGTTTGGCAAATATTGAAATTCATCTGTGATTGTTGAGCACCGAAAGTTGTGGGATATTGTGCGCGGTGTGTCTTATGTGTTAGTTTGGTTACTGATCGCTTTGGCACACTGAGACCAGTGACGTTTCGTGACGTAGTATCGTCACTGTCTTGAAATTCGTTTGACAGTTGCTGTCTGAGTCTTGGGTGAGAAGGTTGTATATTTTCAGAAGCAAACTGAGTGTTTGAATTATTGTATCACCAGATGTTAGATAAGCTTCAAATAATGGTACGTTGTACTTGAAATAGAAGTTCAGTTCAGTTAATTAGATTACCATGTATGAGCGTGTTAATGAACTTGACGGGTGAAATCCAATCTTTACGGACGCGACGCTGTATATTTCGGGAAGGTACTTGCAGGATGCCTTCTCTTGTAAGTTGTAGCCTAAACTCTTGCAACCTTGGCTGGCATATCATAGGAGAGCCTCATCAAAGCCTTGGCTGGCACGTCATGGGCACGCCTCATCAAGTCCTTGGCTGGCGTATCATAGGCAAGCCTCATCAAAGCCTTTGCTGATATAACTGTTTATTTAGCTTAATTGACTATCAGTTGAGTCGAGGCCCGATCGGAGTGAGCCTTGGCTGCACCATCTCGCGCATGGTCTGTCATTTTGCGTCACTTCAAAAGACAAGGACCTATTAGAAAAAGGGACCAATTGATAGTGCATGGGTTGTGTGGAGAGATTGCATTAAATCACTCCCTTCTTCAACAACCAGTATTTCGACTTGCCGTTTACCAGGCAGCATCATCATAGACATTAAATGAAGTTGTTTTAAAAACAAGCATTCATGTCATGCTAAGCATTCCTAAGTCGTTGTTTAAGTTGTTCCTAACGTCTGAGACCAACAACTGGTGATAAAGTTTTCAAACATTTTAAAATGGGATTTGATGTTATTATTGTGACCAAGCTCTCCTAAAGCCTATGTGATATACTCTGGAAAATTGTACATAACTAACTGGACTCTCCGCCTTTCCTTGTTTCTTGGCCTAAGAGCGTTCATTTGACAAACCTTATCTATATTTTAAAGGGTCACCAGGCTATTTTAATGATACAAATGAAGACACACTATAAGTGTCGGGAGTACAAAAGTCTTGTGCAGTAAAAAGCACTGCTTTCATTCTTCTGATTCAAACAGTTATTTCTTACACATTTAGTTTGTAAATATGAACTGGATCATTGCATAAAATAAGGGTGTGGTTTATCAAAGTGATGTGGATGAACAATACTGAATAAAAAGTGACATTGTGTTTCTATTTATAGCACAATTATCTTTTGCAACACAAATCACATTTAGATCAATATAAGATAAGATAAGATACAATTATTTTATTGATCCAAATAAATGAAAATGTATTTTGATTGCATTATACATTTTCAGCACAAAAATAAAACAATTTGAACACAAGACATTTATAATAAATTATTTCAACAGCCATTCAGTGAGTTCTCTTAGCAAAATCGGGGACTTATTAGTTCTCATTCAGATGTGTCACCTCAGAGGAAGCACGTTGGTAAATTCGTACAGATTGGGGTACAAAATAATTTTTATATCTGTCAGTCCTCGCCCTGATGGAAATAATTCGTCTCGAACGGCCCGATCCTAAGTATCTGTGATGAAGAGGGTGGGATGTATCATCCGAAATGTGTTTAATTTTGCAAAAACATCTTTCTGCACTAACCCAATAATAATTTTCTTATATAAAGGGTGACCCACTAAAAGGGAAAACATCTGGCAACAAAGGGTTATAACATTGAATTAATATAATCTCTTGTCACTGACAGTTGTATGAAAATGATGACACTATTCAGAAAACGTGTTCAAACCGTTTCCCCCAACCCAACCCCAACGAAATAAATAAAAAAAAGAATTTATTAAAATTTTTAAAGAGAGGGGACAACGCTAGCTTGCCAGCTCTAAAATATGGCCAACCTTCAAACCATCAGGTTGTCAATGCGAATATTTTCAGCATATTTTCAGCCACGCAATTTATTCTTTAAAATTACAAACTTATCTACTCTTTTTTTCCCCCCAGATATTTTCGTGAATTTTTGGTTAAGCACTTTAGTAGCAACACGAGACTGACATTGATATCAGTGAACACTGCATTTATAGGACATATCAGAAAATGTATATCTACAGCTACGATGGTTTTGATCCAATTGCTTACCTCAAGACTAACAAGGCATTGTACATCATCTTCATCATCCTCATCCTGCTGGCCAACGGTTCACTCATATTCAAGAATGTCGGTAGAGGTGACTTCATTTACAAGCCAAAAACTCTGACAATTTTATCGCTGGCCATTGGAGATGTTCTTCTGGCTCTGTTTCCCATGGTTGTTACAACTAAGGTTTTGTTTGGAGATTACGCAGTGACTGGACTTTCTTGCAGTACTTCATTGGCGTCTCTTGTCTACACACCATATCTTGACACATTCGTCTACGGTATTGGACTAATGGTGCTCGGCTTTGAAATAATTCAATCTCAGAAAAGCTCACCCACAAATAAAAACAAGCAAATCATTTATTCTCTCGGGTACAGTAGTTTTCATTGGATACTTGGACTTATCATTGTCTTACCCCTTGGGATGGCGAACTTCAATGTTGACACGTGTCAGGGTACTCAGACCCTAGGTCAAGCCAGAGCGTTGGTTGTCATTGGAATTATTTTACCAGCATGTTGTGCAGTGATCACTTCAATCATTGTCAAGAATAGAAAATCCCAAACGGTGAACAGCCTTCCTCAAGCTGTAGTTGTTTTCAACAGCCACGCGACTGCTTCCCCAATCCAGACAACGAACCCAGCAGAGGTAATCGCAGTGAGCCATAGTCATTCACAGTCCTCAATGTTCGCTTCACCAACATCGTATCCTACACAGGGACAACCACAGTTCTACAACCAACCCCTTACACGGGGACAACAACTACAGTTTTACAACCAACCCCCTACACAGGGACAACAATCACAGTTCTACAACCGACCCCCTACACAGGGACAACAACCACAGTTTTACAACCAACCCCCTACACAGGGACAACAACCACAGTTCTACAACCAACCCCCTACACAGGGACAACAACAACAGTTCTACAACCAACCCCCTACACAGGGACAACAACCACAGTTCTACAACCAACCCCCTACACAGGGACAACAACCACAGTTCTACAACCAACCCCCTACACAGGCACAACAACCACAGATCTACAACCAACCCCCTACACTCCCTACACAGGGACAACAACCACAGTTCTACAACCAACCCCCTACACAGGGACAACAACCACAGTTCTACAACCAACCCCCTACACAGGGACAACAACCACAGTTCTACAACCAACCCCCTACACAGAGACAACAACCACAGTTCTATAACAAACCATCGACACAACCGTACTACATACCGGTACAGACGCAGTACGCAAATCCAACGTTTTATCCGGGTAATGTTAGGGGCGCCCCTGGTCAAACAGGTATTGGGATCACAGCCGTCACAGCTCCGTCCGGTCCCACACCAAAAGTTAACAGACTGTTGGCCATTTCAATCATCTATTGTCTGCTAGTCCTTCCGATTGCCATTTTTTATCTCAGCTACATACTAAAATCCGATCGTGTGATTCTACCAGCAGTTCCATTTGCAACGATTGATGGGCTAGTGTGGTGGTTGAACCTTGTCAGGTCTTTCATTACACCCCTCATGATGTACCGCTATTCTGATGACTAAACATTATGAGTTAATATCTTATCAACATTTAACGTCCTCCGTCCGTCTTTGTTCCTCTGTTATACTGAACGGTAATTTAAATATGACGTTTGGCTGACATGATGTTTGTCTTATGTCACTGTTGGCTGACATGATGTTTGTCTTATGTCACTGTTGGCTGACATGATGTTTGTCTTATGTCACTGTTGGCAGACATGATGTTTGTCTTATGTCACTGTCGGCTGACATGATGTTTGTCTTATGTCACTGTTGGCTGACATGATGTTTGTCTTATGTCACTGTTGGCTGACATGATGTTTGTCTTATGTCACTGTTGGCTGACATGATGTTTGTCTTATGTCACTGTTAGCTGACGTGATGTTTGTCTTATGTCACTGTTGGCTGACATGATGTTTGTCTTATACCAATGTTGGCTGACATGAATTTGTCTTATATCAATGTTGGCTGACATGATGTTTGTCTTATATCAATGTTGGCTGAAATGATGTTTTTCTTATATCAATGTTGGCTGAAATGATGTTTGTCTTATATCAATGTTGGCTGACATGATGTTTGTCTTATATCAATGTTGGCTGACATAATGTTTGTTTTACATAACGTCTGGCTGACATGATGTTTGTCTTGCATGACTTTGTCTGACATGATGTGGTTCTTACATGACGTTTGGCTGGCATGATGTTGGACTATAATGACTGTTGGCTGACATGATGTTTGTCTTACATGACTTTTCACTTGCATGATGTTTGTCAATTTTTTTTGCTTACATGATGTTTATCTTACATGACGTTTGGATGACATGATGTTTGTTTTACATGATTTTTTGCTGACATGATATTTGTCTTACATGCATGATGTTTGGCTGACATGATGTTTGACTGACATTGCTTTTTAGCTGACATGATGTTTGTCTTACATGACTTTTGGCTGGCAATTTTTTTGTCTTATATGTTTTTAGCTGACATAATTTTTATCTTACACGATGTTTGTCTTATATCAATGTTGGCTGACATGATGTTTGTCTTATATCAATGTTGGCTGAAATGATGTTTTCTTATATCAATGTTGGCTGACATGATGTTTGTTTTACATGACTTTTGGCTGACATGATGTTTTTCTTCCAAGGCTTTTGGCTGATATGAAGTTTGCCGTACATTATGTTGGCCGATTATGATATTTACGTGCCCCTAGAATAACAATGTTCGAACAAAGTCGATTTTTTTAAAGTGAGTTATTGCCCCTGTTCAAAAGTTAATCACTTCATCTGATTATGGTACAAAAGTTGGAAGCTTAATGACGAGCCAATTTTACAGGAAATACAAAATACCAAGGTTCTAACTCGAGGTTGGCCTTTCTCTTGAGAATAGCAAAGTTCTAACGTATAGTTGTAGTTTTAACAAGTTACTTTTTATGGTGAACCAATAAATATTTAGCTTGTAAAATGTGTTCAGTATCTTCAGCTAATTATAAGGCTTGTTAAGTACCGTTACTTTAATGGTCATGAATTGTTTACATTCAAAATGGCGGACGCCTCAATAGAAAATGTCTTTATTTAAGGAGAGAGACTGCAATCCGTTTAGCATAATATAAAAAGAGTATAGAAAAAGTAGAGTTAAACCTGAAAAAGGGAACGCAACGAAACAAACAAAGCGACATCTTTCTTTTGTTGCGTTCCTTTTTTCTTTTAGGTTTAACCCAACTTTGTTTTACTCATTTTATATTATCACTAGCAAATAGTTTTTTAAGCTCCTCGTCTAGCGATTATGATACTGATGATTATGATACTGATGATTATGATACTGATGATTATGATACTGATGATTATGATACTGATGATTATGATACTGATGATTATGATACTGATGATTCTGATACTGATGATTCTGATACTGATGATTATGATACTGATGATTATGATACTGATGATTATGATACTGATGATTATGATACTGATGATTATGATACTGAGGATTATGATACTGATGATTATGATACTGATGATTATGATACTGATGATTATGATACTGATGATTATGATACTGATGATTCTGATACTGATGATTCTGATACTGATGATTATGATACTGATGATTATGATACTGATGATTATGATACTGATGATTATGATACTGATGATTATGATACTGATGATTATGATACTGATGATTATGATACTGATGATTATGATACTGATGATTATGATACTGATGATTATGATACTGAGGATTATGATACTGATGATTATGATACTGATGATTATGATACTGATGATTATGATACTGATGATTATGATACTGATGATTATGATACTGATGATTATGATACTGATGATTATGATACTGATGATTATGATACTGATGATTATGATACTGATAGCAGTGACTAATATTATACGATGCCATGTGAAGTGTTTTCACGACTAAGTCTAATAAGAGTCCTTTAAATCTGTAAACAGGAGAAACTTTTATACAATCATACAGATGAAGCATTAAGGACAAATGACTTCAAAGCTATTAAAACATGTTCTAATGTACTGATTGATAAGTTTCAATACCAGAGTGTAAAATATTCCAAAGTATGTATGAAATGAAATTTACAAATGAGCCATTGGTTGGTGGTAGACTTAGCCATAAGGACATAGCATTTGAAAACATCAACATAAGAAAACCTAAAAGCACGAGAAGTTGTGTCCCAATGAAACCAGCGCAAGTGTTTGTGCCTCAACCAAAGATGGCGATGTCATCGAATAAACTGTCTGAAGCTAAGAAAACAAATTTTAGAGACGCGATCAAGATCATGCCTGAGTTAGACAGGCAATACGATAGGAACATAATTATGTAACTTGTTGTGGTACGGTAGCTGGTTTTGAATGGAAATAATGCAGAAACTTCAAGTTTGTGTGTAAATTGTAAACCATGTTATTGTCTAATGAATGTTTATGTTTGAGTTTGTAATAATAAATGAATACATAGAAACTAAATATAAGGAAATAGTTTCTCTCTTTATTTTAAATATAATTGTTAAATGATTTTGTCTTGTTAGTATTTGTGATCTAAATAATGAATATGTATTTATTCTTGAAAGAAACTGCTTAATTCATAGAGTTGGATAAATAGAAACTTCTTATTCTAAAGTGAAATAGCTTTTTCAGAATTACAAGGTTCTATCAAAAATTTCAAAAATTCATTTAAAATCAAAATCAATATCTAGAACCTTCATTTGAGTGATTAAACCTGTATTGATAATATCAACATAATACAACAGCAACTTCGATACAAACGTTTTTAGTTGATCCAAGCCAAACATCAAATTTTCAAACGCGAATATCTCGGTTTGACCAAAAGGTCACAAAGAACATTGTTTTTATAAGAGGAGCCTTTGTCTTACATGACATTTGGATGACATGATGTTTGTCTTACATGACGCTTGGCTGACATGATGTTTGTCTTACAAGACTTTTGGCTGATAAAATTATTTTTACAATTTTGTCATACCTTAAAGAAATTCATATATAACCATAAATAATCATACATAACCATATATGATAATATATATAAGCATACATAACCATAAAAAACATACATAACCGAATATAACCATACATAACCATATTTAACAATAAATAACCACACAAAGCCATATATATTCCTATAAATAAAGAGAATTTCTAAGTAATCATTAAACATCTCATATTAATTTTTATGTTTCTATTTTTTACAGAGCTGTAATTATTATTTTTATTAGTTTTAATCATTTTTTTTAAAAATATTCATATTTTTGTTGCTTAAAATAAAGAAATACCAATACTGCCTAG